GAAGCTTAATAATTTCTGTGCTTTCTGTCGAAATTTTCTGAAATTTTGCAAGGAAGGTTTGTTTATTAGGTTGATTAATGCTGTTAAATTTTGGTGGTTAAAGGTCGAGAAGGTGGGAACATAATGAGGATAGTGCTTATCTACAATAGGGTTGGACTTAATGATGACGATTTTGCTTGTTACTAGTGTTTACAACTTTTTATAACTCATCCCCATTCTCAAAATTAAACTTTTTGATATTTTATAATAGTTAAAAATATAACAAGTTTTTAAAATAAAATATGATAACAGATGGCGCCACCGAAATTTTAAACTTTACCGGGAACGTTGAGCAACCCGTTGCTGGTTTATTTTTGTAAGAAATTCAACAATTTTTTGCGATAATGTCAGCAATTTATGAGAAGCGTTATAATTTGTTTATTAGACAAAAGGATATTATTTTGAACAATATTTTGCAAACTTTATACTGTACGTAATAAAGATATCAGTTTAGTTCTTTACATTGGTTAACTGAATTTCGGGATTACTTTCTTCATACACATACACACCTATATACACATGTCTGTATGGTTGTCAGCAGAAGATTTTCCAGGAAGGCAAAGCTTGGAAACAAATAAATTCAATAACTTTTTATTACGGATAATGTTGTCAATCGGTTATTGTTATCATAATAAATCGTTCCTACTTTTTTATGATAAATATATATTGTACAGTACATACACATTCACACTGTAATAAAGTGTGTTTTTCAATTATGTAAAGTTTTTTATCCTCTATTTAATGTTATCATCCGGTTATTGTTATCAAAAATTGTAAGTCCCATTGCTGATTACATTATATATTGAGGACGTCCTGCATATGTATTTTATATCTACATACAAACAGGCGTTATTCTAAGGTACCGATAAATCCTAGAGTTAATAAATTGTTCTAAAATTTGTGTCTAATTGAACGTTAGAAAAGCGGTGACTATAAGGAATGGTCTGTATACAATATAAATAGTTGTTTTTCTTAAAAAAGAAAAGAATTTAAGAATTAAAATGAAATAGAATTACAAAATTAATTGCATTTTTGTTATTAAAAAAGTAAAAAAATAAATATTTTACACATTTATTTTTACAGATCAGTCACTTGTTTTCTAAATTTAAAATGAGTAGAAATAAATTTAAAAACTCTGACATTTCATCTAACACTCTTCACTTTAATGAAATTCCAGAAAATGCATAGCAATATTACTTTAAAAAAATTATTTTATTCTTTCAACATCCATCTAATAAATACATTTCTTTTTTTTTACACAACTCAAATTCCTTTAGATCTATTATATTTCAATTAAAAAAATATACATCATATTCCTAAATTTATAGTAATATTATAGTGTATAATCATTAAAATAAAGCAGGAAAATCATTGTTAAAGATTTATTCAAAGACTAAATCAACGAGAAATGATTTGTAAGAGATATCAATTGAACAAAGGGTTATACAAAGCTTTGATATTTATCATTTATCTTTTAAGTACGCTACTTCAATCTGTATAGTAAATGCTGTAATTTGTCAACCCCCACCGAATCTCCATCTGATGACAACGATTTATACTCCCGATTAGATAAAGTGAAGCATAACAATTTATTATCAAATATTATTTTCTTATTATTAAAAATATAACAAGTTTTTAAAATAAAATATGATAACAGATGGCGCCACCGAAATTTTAAACTTTGCCGGGANTTTATCAAAATTAACAAAACTTATTTATTTATTTATAAAATGGTGATTATTTTTTTAAATAGAAAATGTAATTTTTCTTTAAAGGACTTAGTTAAATAATGCGTATCAGTTCTTTCACAGCACATCAGTTATTTAGCGCAAGACATTATTAATTCAGAGAAATAAATAATAACTTTATTAGTGAAAAAGAATTCATTTAATTTTGATATATCCATTTAATAAAACATTTATTTAAATTGTATGATAATAAATATTTTATTTATAATTTTAAATTGAAATATTTAATAAGTCAGAGCAACATTTACAAATAAATTAAACAATTTAAGGGTCCATGCCAGGCCCTAAAAGAGGGGGGTGCAGCGTGAGCTTTAGGGACCTATCAGAGGGGAAAAAATTAAGAAATTGTCCTTTTTCTGATTATTTTTTTCCATGGAATAACATTTATACTAGATTATTATTCTAATTTAATCTCATTATGTTATTTGTATAAGCAGGATCTCCGAAAGGAGAACCCAAAATGGTCTTAGCACCGACAGCTTTCCCATTCTCATAGCATCAGTTAGGGGGGCCCTGGCTGATGCTATGAGGATACAGTTTAGGGCCTCGTTTTATTGTTGATAATTATTTAGTGGAGGGAAAAGGCCTCATATTTATAGCTTACAAGTCGCAACAAGTCTTGTAATAAGTGATGAATTATATTTAAATTTCGTCACTTGGAGGTTCAATAATAACTTCCGTCGAACATTTATTTTCTAAATTATTCTTTTCTTTTTTAGAATTATTTTTATATTCATTAATCATTAAATTATTTTCTTCTTTATTACAAGAATCAATAAGATTTAATTGAATATCTGAATGATATTTATTTACTGAAGAGATTGAATTTAAGTCTTGTCTATTGTAATCACTGCAATCACTAAATGTCAAACTCTTACGAAAATTTAAATTTCTGTTGTGATAAATTGAATTTTGGCTTAATTCATGAATTGATAAACGTTTATTAAGAAGTTGACTTATGCTTCGTTTACCACTTGATTTTCTTGATTTATTCATATCAATTAAGAAAAATAATAAAGTACCAAGAAATATTATTCCAGAGCAGAAGTAATAACCTGTTTTTATTGAAAATTGTTGATTTAAATATGCTGAAAAACAAAAAAAAAATTATATATAAATATTAAATACATATAAATATATTGTATATAACATAATACAAGGTGTCCTACACGGGGTTGACCCTTTAAAATTGCGAATAACTCCTGAATGCTAAAGGTAAAGGTAAGTTGTAGAAATCTGTACATACCTTATTTTATGCCAAACAAATCTACATTAAAAAAGGTGTTGAAAGTGTCCTCCCCTAACGTTCACACACAATACAACGCGAATGTCCATATTCGTGAATGTCCTTCGCAGTATGTCGCAGTATGGTACAACTTTACTCTGGATGTTTAGTTTCAGTTGATCGATACTCCTGTGTTTGTTTGCATAAATCTTACTTTTTAAATGTCTTCATAGAAAGAAATCTAGTTGATCGCGATGGTCAAAAACCTGTTGAGATGACCCAAACTAAAAAAGAAAAAAGACTGAATCTCTCCCATACTTACACGAGCGGTATGGCTACCATTGCTTCTATTTATGGCATACAATTCTGCATGAAATTTTGAGTCCTATTTCGTGAACGTGTTGCAAAATTATTCACAATTTTAAAGAATCATCCCTGAGTGGGGATACCCTGTAGGTTATAATGTTAACATATTAACATAAAGTATAATATAGACATGTTAAAATATGTGTAAAACGCATTAACATCTACTTTATTATATAATGGACACCGTCTCGTTCGAATTAATCCATTAAATCGAGGTTTTACTGTACATTACAAGTTTTATTCAGGTAATAATATTAGATTAAATGGTAGCTTCTTAGTCAGTCTATTAATAATAGAAACAAGAAGTCAGGTATATCATGTATTTATTAATTTTATGCTGTTTGGACGCATGTGAATTTGACTTTGTACATTGTTTTTTATAATGTTCTGTTTTCGATATGGTGATTTCTAAAATCTTCTTATTTGCAATAAAAATAACAAACTGTAGCTTTTGTATTTGCATAAAATATAGTTTTTTTTTAGTGTTATGGATTGATAGGATAGTGTCGTAGATAAATTGTGAGGTTCTTTTCTACTGTTACATTCCTTGAATTTTTGATAGCGCATTTTCATCTTCATGAAAAATCGTTAGATTCTTTTAAATTTCACGCACGATAGATTGTAATTTCAATTAATTTACTAAAGCTTATATCTAGATGTGAAATTGTTTCTTAATAATTTCATAATTCATATAAAGTATAATAAATAAATTGCCGTAAAACAGAAAATGCTACTCAGATTAGATTGGCTTACTAATGACGAATTCTATTAGTCTCATCAGAGAAAACACTATTTCAATGGGTCGTTCATAGAAAACTTAGTCATATCTGTAGAATAAGTGACAATAGAGCAATCAAAATCATAATTCTTGTAATCGTGGAGAGGCAAATAAAAGAGGGAGGCCACACTAAACGGATGGATGATGTAAAGGAATGGTGCAAGAATAGTATTCAGGAGCTGGTTCACTGTGCTCTTGACAGAGAGAGGTGGGGTGGAAAAGAATGGTAAAAATGGCATCAGATACCAACGGGCACTAGTCCCATGGAATGTGAAGATGATCATGATGATAATAATAGAAAAGAAAACAGGAGACATTTAAATCTCGCTTTTAAATAATTATTTTAATTATCTTGTTTTAAATAAATTCTAAAATCTTTTAATGCATCTTTATATAATTAATATAATTAAACTTTTTAATTAATTAAATAGTGTTATACTACGAACTTGATGGATTAAATATGATAAATGATAAGATTTTATGTATATCTCTGTGTGTCATCCATAGCCTTATGCATTATAAAAGATTAATTAACAAATTAACAAATGTGTAAAATATTTTAAGAAAATTATAACAAATTAATGTATTTAAATAAATATAAACTGCTGGCTTAAATAGTCTATAAATTGTTTTAAATGTTAAATAGATTTTCCATAATTTTAATAACAACTGAGACCCTGAAAGAGAGAGAAACCATAGACAAAAGCTTAGTTTTCTTAAGCATAAAATCGTCACTGAATATACAAATACAATAATTAAAAATAATATTATAATCTTAATTTGTAATTTCTTAAAATAATACTTAAAAATAAGTAATAATTTAATATTTTTTTTCTTTATTTACCTGTAGTCGATATTCCGATAAAGATGGGAAGTGCTTGACACAACTGAATAAGTCCCCAGACTCGAACAAAATTTCTTGCTCGAACTTTTTCTAATACACACATTTTTATGGAATAATAATATCCGCCATAGAAAAAGCCATAAAAACACGAAAATAATACGTATCCGTTGAAATCTTCAAGAACTGTAAAGGCTAAGAAAGCCAAGCTGATCATTAATGATGCTAATTGACAAAGATATTGTCTAGATATCATACACTGAGTACTGTTTCGGACAATGATCAATCCGAACGATGAACTACCAAAAATTGAAGAAATCCCAAGTAATATCTGTAGAATATATTTATTTCTCGTGTCTAATTTATTTCTTTCGAATTCTAAATTCTGCTCATATAAAAATTTAAGTAATAATATTAATTAAGTTACTTAAATACAATAGATTAATTAATAAAGATAAGAGATACTTACAAATATATAAAATGGCACCATACTTCCAAAAGCGATTAAACTATTTCCTAGAAGTAATATTTTTACTGTCGTCGATCTGACAAGAATGTATTTTAAAAGAGAAATAGTATTGTTATTTTTAACACCATTGCAAGTGGTTTCCTGAATTGTCCTCAAGTGAAGAATGGCTCTTCTTTGTGGATGATATAGTGAAGCAGAACGATAAAATATACCCAACAGGCAAGATATCATCATTAGACCCGAGATGATACTAAAACCAATTCTCCAATTTGTTTTCCTTTTTTTTAACAAAGAAATAATATATAATTAATAAATATATTATTTATATCTATAACACGTTTAATTATAAAATAACAAATTAATTAAATTAAATTAAATTAATAAAATAAATTATATGATTTTATAGATTTAAAGATGTAAATTTTTATATTTTTCTTTGTAGTATTTGTACATTTGTCACGAATTTAACAACCGTATGCATTCAAGATTACGAACGGAGCATATTAATTTATTTCTATTGACTTCATGTAACTTTACAAGAATTTCCATTTATATCCATTCGAGCATCAAACACTACTTCTACATTATTTTCTATAAAGGAAATTAATGCCAGCAGATGTTTAAAAAATTCTAAATCGTTACGCTCGAACGAATAAGAAACTTTTGATTTTTTTTAAAATCAAAAATTAAAAATTCATTTTTCTCTATATATTTTTTTTTGAATAAATTATATTAATTCTAATATATTTTAAAGAATATTTTAAAAATGAATTACGTTACGCTTTCCGTTTGTATTATTGGCATCACAATTATTCCTAAACCCATTCCGGAAAAGATGATGATTTCTACAAGTTCTCTTTTCCTCTTGAAGTATTGACTAATCATGATTGTGGACGTATCTCTAATCATGCTGATTCCACATCCAACAACGACACCGTAACTAAAATACAGTTGATGAAATTGTAAAGCAAACGATGTGAATAAATATCCTAAAATTGTTATTAAACCTCCTAAAATTGCAATCAATCTGGTACTCTTTTTATGACATAGAATGGATATTACAGGTGAAACGAGAAGAGATACGCAAGTCGATATTGCTCCTAGAATAACTGAAATTTAAAGAATATTATATTATTACACTCGTAAAAACTTTTATAACGTTTTAACATAATAAAAGTCATTAACTTTTATTCTATTTACTAATTATTCAATTTGTTCAGTTCTTTTTACTATCGTAATGTCTTTTGTTTTAATCTAATCTGATACTTAGGGAATGGGTGGAGTGTCAAGTAGAGTCGCATAAGAGACCCTCAATCCCACCTGTCGCTAATTAAGAATAAGGTCAATGAACTCTAGAAAGAATACATTGTTTCTTTTATTTAAACCACTCTTCGTTTTGATGATTCCAACAATCAATAAAATTAAATTGATTTCTAATGATCAATTCGATTAATCGTCTTTAAGTAAAACCAGTGATTTTCAATTAAATGTAAGATAAACTGTAGAATTATTTAAATTTCTTATATTTGAAACAACAACTAGGAGTGTATAGGCCTATACAATAAGTAATTCATGTTACAACTGAATTTTAAAAAATATATTTCTTGAATTTATATGATTTTTATATAACCTCACTGACCTAACAATTTTATGTTTTTATAAAAGATTGAAGAACTGCCAACGTCCTGTGACGAATGAAAACAGGACGTAGACTTATATCTATTCTCATTTCTTTCTTGCATTTTTGATTTCCATTTGTTATAGAGTTTTCTTTCGCTGTAATTTTTATTTTTTATTCTAAGCCAAAATAAAAAACATTTAATATAAAAAGCGCTATATATATTATAAGAGAATTTATAACTCTACAGCAAAAATATACTATAAAATATTAACTATATATATATTTAAAAGTTAATATATAAAATTATAAAGATAAATACCTGCTTGAATAACATTGACTCCATTAAATTGATGTATTATTTGATGAAGTAAGAAACTGTAAGAAAAATACAAACCACCAATTATGCATTGGACTAAAGTGGAGCACAAACAAATTATCCATCCCCAACCACCTTCTGGATAATAATGTTGTCTGATAGTAGATATTTTAGTATCACTAGGATAATAAATACAACTTTGTGAAAGAGTTAAATTTGTCGATCCTCTTAAACTCGATTCCATACTTGATAAATAATTCTTTTTACAATTTTTACATCTAGTTTCATACGTTGGTAAAAAAGAAATCGTTGAAGACTTGTGAAAAGTTGTAACTTCATAAGATTTTTCATTTATAGTTAAAGATTTAGATCTATTATGACGATGAACATTTAAATGTGATCCATGAATTTTAATTTCGACATTTGAATTAAGTTTATCTTCATTTTTACACGATGATATAATGTTAGGTGTAGACATTTCTTTTGTAAATAGATGAAAAGGTTTGAATATTTCGATCGTCTTCTCTTATCAATATGGTACTGGCACGTGTAGGTAAAAGTCCCGTGTTACGTCACGTCTCTAACTTAAATATTATTGGTTGTTGAAAATTTTGAATTGTGTAATAAATTAGTCTTTTATTATTATCATATTCTATTTTTCTAACGAACGTCTTAGTGTTTGTTGGGTGCGGTTCGTTGTATCTAACCAAAAAGGCCTCCGAATGAATTTATTATTTATTATCCTAACAAGATTTATTATAATTTAATGTATGTTATACAACAAATTCTGTTAGACCTATTTTATATGACATTTTACAAATACTATACTATCTTGAAAATAAATCAAAATAGATTCTATTGATATTTTTATTTACTTAAAAGGGAACGGTAACGGAGCATATTAATTTATTTCTATTGACTTCATGTAACTTTACAAGAATTTCCATTTATATCCATTCGAGCATCAAACACTACTTCTACATTATTTTCTATAAAGGAAATTAATGCCAGCAGATGTTTAAAAAATTCTAAATCGTTACGCTCGAACGAATAAGAAACTTTTGATTTTTTTTAAAATCAAAAATTAAAAATTCATTTTTCTCTATATATTTTTTTTTGAATAAATTATATTAATTCTAATATATTTTAAAGAATATTTTAAAAATGAATTACGTTACGCTTTCCGTTTGTATTATTGGCATCACAATTATTCCTAAACCCATTCCGGAAAAGATGATGATTTCTACAAGTTCTCTTTTCCTCTTGAAGTATTGACTAATCANAAAAGAGTAAGAAAACAACGATAAAGTATACTTCTCTAATTTTTTTTTATGATACTAATTATCGTGAGAGAAATTCATCTAACAAGCTTAGACACTAGGAAGATAATAAAATTTTTAATGACTATTAATCCTAGTGAAAAGTCTTCAGTGAAAAGTCAGAACCAAACAGAAACCATTGACCTGGATGTTCAATAATCTCTTCCATCAGAAACACTAATGCTATCTTGTACTTTCTACATCTTTGACCTCTTTAAGCCACTAAGTACTTTTTATCTAATTATTCCACAGATATTAACGAAAATTAAATCTAATTTAGGCTACGTATAGATTGACCCTATTGTTTCCTATAAAGAATTAAATTTAAAAAAAAAATTCTTGTTTTTTAATATTTTAAAACTTAATTAATAATTTACAATGTTTATTATTAAATTTAATTAATTTATTATTTATATCTTAACACTTTCTACATAAATAAATTGTATTCATTTATATAAATTATACATTATATAATCAAGGATATTGTAGAACAATTCCTTGATCTTATATGAAGAATAATGAGGATATCCATTTATGTTTATATCTTGTAGCAATGATAAAATATTGTTGCTGTCATTTAAATAAATTATGAAATATTTAGCAGATAAAATTTCAATTCTACATTAAATTTCTCATTTAAAAAAAATATATATATTTATAAAGCAATTTTAATTAAAATTTGTTAGTTTTATTTAAGTTTTTAAAATCATTTATATAATGCTCTCATACCATTATCCACTTATCTCATAAGTTTAGAGCTTTTAGTTTATGGAAAATCTTACAGATAGACAGACGAACGAATAAAATATATATAGAAAATATCTGATAAATTGCTAAAATAGTAAAAGGTATACAAAAAAATAAGGTTAATATGAAAAATATTGAATTAAATAAATGTGTTAAAGTGCATTTTCTGAACAAAATACTAAGATATTCTTCATGTTGCAATCTTCTAAAAGGGAAGTAATGATGATGATTATGGTTATTGAAACTTGATGCAAATAGATATGGTTACTTGAACAAATTGATTGAATTAATATACATCAAATTTAACTGAACAAACGATCGAAATATTGTTTTTTCTTTCAAATTAAACTATAAAACTTATTACAAATTTCAGTTATTTATCAACTAGACTTTTGTACATGTTAAAATCTATTACAAAAACTTCTAAATGGGAACTGATTATCTCATTATTTTTATTATTTTCTCTTCTACACAAAGTTACCAAAATACTCTGATGAAAACAAATAAATGAATGGTAAAGTTTAAGTAATGTTTATATTAAAATTTATGGCAGAATCTATGAAGAGGGGATTGCAAAGCTCGTCCACAGATATGACAAATGCCTAAATCTTCACGGTGATTATAACGAAAGGTAACCGTGTTTGTACCTAACTTTTGGTAATAAATTCATTTTGTTATTTACACTTGTCTTTGTTTTATGGACCATCGGGGATTGAAAAAAAACGCCTACGTATTTAACTGCATCAATGCCCTTAATATTATATATAGAATACTTATGCTCTTCCTCAAGTTTTGCTGTTCTGCTTCATCGTATGAAGGTCTGTTCATGGATGAAATGTTCAAAGTAAGTTGAGAGTATTGATCCATAACATGAAGGCCATTCCATCATGCGCAGAGAAGCCTGCAAGTGAAGAAAAAGGATGGCGAATAACTCGACTGACGGATTGTGACTCTTCTATACTTGGGCTTGGTGCCTCAACTTGGCATCCTTATCAAATAGGTTGTGAATGGCTACTAATTAACTCAACTGGAAATTGCATATACTTTCAAACCTCAAAGAAACAATTGGACTACATTTTCGAATTCTCTAACGTAGCCTGTAAGAAGGACAACGAAACGAATACGGAATGGAACAATAAATATAAAGGGCATTAATCACAAAATCAAAGAACTTGAGAGTGGATTACAAAACGTGAATGTCAAAATTTCTGTAATATCAAGAACAAAGAAATAAATGAAGGGGACGTAAGAATTACACCACTATAGGTTTATTTACAGTGGGATCCATGATATGAAAGAACGTTAGCAGGAGTAGCCATAATGTTAAGCAACAGTCTACGAAAATAAAGTATGTTCTTATAAATGGATCTTCAAAAGAATAGTCATGGTATCAATCAACCTAAACCTAAACTTTGTGACTATCTTTGGAATTTTATTTTCCAGAAGAGAGCAAAAAAGAAACAGAAAAGTTTTATTAAAGTCTTCATGGAGAAAACCGTGTAGCTTATAGTTGAGAGATTTAAATGTAAGGATTAGTAATAGAAAGTATAAAAACTTGATAAGAACTAACGGTGAAGACTCTCTCGACAACAATGGTAGCGACTTTGCTAAACCGCAAAATAACAAACACTAAAAACAGGAATATACAGTAGTACATAGTGTAAATTTACGTAGAAAACTCCATTATAGTTCTCATTATTAATTTGTAACATCTTTTTCCATTTTGTTACCGACACTCAGACCCTCATATATTGAAATAGTATAGCAACATTAAATCTATTATATTCAAAGTCCTAGAAGGGTAATGAGAGGTAACCGCCAACGGAGTCCGCAGACTACAAAAAAAGGGTGGGCACAAGCTATAAAAAGGGCATCGTCATATATATGCATTTATATACACATATATGACAATGTCCTTTTTATATATATATACAGGTATCCCGTGAATAACGCAATTAATTAATTCCTCGATGCTACCGTGTATATGAAAATAGCGTTAATCAAAGTGTTACCTCAGCTAAATTGTAAACATAATAAAAAAATGGAGAAAATGAAAAAATATATAATCATAAAAAGCGCAAAAGAAGCAAGAGAAGAAAAAGAAAGGAGCTGGATTGAGGACCTGGAACGAAGAAATAGAAACTTTAGTCAATAATAAGAAAATTACTTACCTTAAATGGTTAATAAACGTACTGAAAATCTAATAGAGTACAAAAGAATTAGAGTAATTATCAGAAGAGAAACAAAAAAATAAGAGACAGGACTTGGATAATTTCGTTAACAGACTAGAATACAATATTAATGAACCACAACTAAATGGGTTTAAAATAGTAATATAAAATTTCTGATATCAAAGATAGACTAAATATACAAGAATCCAACATATTTCAATGACTAAGACACTACAAAGACTTTTACAAAGTCCATTTAATGTGTTAAGTAGTGAAGAGACTAACAAAAGGGACAAAATCAAACTACAAACACAAGAATTAGAGAAACCGTTTCAAAAATTAAAAACAGGAAATATGAATATAATATTTCCGAGCTGCAATTTTTAACAATTATATTTTAAAAATAATTTAATTTAAAATATATGCTTTCGAACTTAGCAGTGTCATGCCTCTGTTTATAATACTTTTCCTATTAACAAGAGAATCATGACGATCTCTAACTCCATTCAAGAGAATATGTATACATTAGTCCCTTTTCTCAACCCCATAATTTATATCGAAATTACATCGAAGGATCTTTATATGTTAGATATAAAGGGTAATATTTTAAAAATAGTTAAATGATCCTTGTAGTTAGTGTCTGGCTATCACGATTCTTATTGTTTCTTATCGTGTTTCTTATATGTGTTTAGTTTGCCGACTTTCCTTTCTTCCTAAATGTTAAGCAAGCCTGAGCAAATACCTGGCTGTTACATTAAGGACCTCCTCCAAGATTTTTACATATTTAAACTCAGGGAACCTTAAAACGTGCAANTTTGAGTTAAAAAAATTAATTATTTTCTTGTTAATCATTAAATCATAGATTATAATCCAATTTTTTTTTTCTTTCAGTTAATTACTTTTATCATTCATTTTAATCCTTTAAATTCAAATTGGTAATTAAAAATATTTGCTATAAAATTAAGAAAAAATATAGATTTTATGTAAAAATTAAAGTTTGAAATAATAAAGCTAGTTATTTATTAAATAAATTCTTTATTTTATTATTATTAGTTTTAATGATGATGGTAATTATACAAGAACGGTTCAATTTACCAATTCAAACCTTGTTCACGCAGGGAAAATAACGAATATTTAAAAAAATTTAATGAGAAAATACCTTTCTCCAGATTTAAGTGTCAAGAACATGCACAAAACCTTCAAAATATTCAAATGTCAATGCCACATATGAAACAAACGGA